AATAGCAACACTTTTGATTTCGTCCCTATTCACAAGTTTAACTTTCATGTTTTTAAAGGTAATAAAACAGCGTGATTAATGTCAAATCCGTATTTCGAAGAACATCTTTTCTTAGGTAAGACTTTTTTGTGTGTAAATGGAGCCTACTAAAGCTAACACAAAAATGTAGATATGAAGATATATTTATCTTATAATATATTCAAAGGTAGGCTCTTTAGGGACAAGAAGCCGAAGCCCAGTTGTCTATCAAAACCTACACTCTTTATGTACTGTGCAGACCCAGCTGGTAACCCCAACTCACGCAGGGCCATCAAGGGCGACAATATTAACATGCTTTATTTTAAAATGAATATAAATTAAAGTATTTTTATTTAATTGCTGTAGTGGGGGGAAGGAAAATCTACCATCTTACATATCATTTCAAAAATTGCCATAAATAAAAAGGTTTTACTCGTAATGTCAAAACCAGAAAATAAAATAATTTGAATGTGGCTACTTCAACACAATCTAGTTATATTTTAAAGTTAAAAAAATAATTACACATTAATGACATTTTTCCAACTTCTTTTTTTTTAAAGATTACAACTATTATGGCAGTCATTACAACATATTATCAATACTTTCAAAATTATAATGCATTTTGTTAATCCGGCATTTAAAGGTACAGTACGATTTTTATATTTATAATAAAGCTACAATCCATAAAATATGATGATATAATATAACGGGTGACATTTGGTGACAAAACATAAGGTTAGAAATGCATGACGTGACAAAAAATAACTGTAAGAACTCGACACCAATTGTCATTTAATCTGCATATAATAGTAACTAAAAATAACTATCTACCTTTTTTTTTATTACATGTCTTTTGTTTTGCCATAGCCCTCAGCTGATTGACTCCAAACAGCTTACCTCAAATCAAATTCAACCACCCAGTCCTTGGCGCAGGGGGAGGAGGAAGGCGATGGAGCTATTACCTCTAAATATATTTTTAATGACGAAATATCTTTGAAATAGCCGCCATCTCCTATTATTACTCTTGTGATTGAAAAATAAAAAAAATATTTTTTTTTGCTGTTTCGCATTTTTGAGAACTTCACAATACAGACAATTATTTATTACCTACCGTATGTGTTTTTAAATATATATTACCTTCATCACAAAAATGTCCTTTGTAACCATTTGGACAGCCTTTACAAAAACCGGTTCCCGTATCACATTCAGATTGAGACCAATTTGTAGAACATCGCTGGGCACAATTGATACCATAGGTTCCAGGTAGACAAGCTGTGAATATTGTTATAGTCTTAATTTAAAATTTTTTATCTCCGTTTTAATTTTTAAAAAAAATATGATGATATAAAGGGATTCAACTTTTGAACAAGCCAATAAATTACAATGCTGATCAATTTAAAACAGCTTGCCTAACCGGGATCAATATCTTTATTCCTCAAGTTTGGCTATTTGGGGAGTGTATTAAATCTTTCCCCCCCCCCCCCCCCCCCACACACACACCAGACACGCAACTACCAGAAAGAGAGTCATTGCGACATAACTTCTTGGAGAGTAGTGTCTTTTAAAATGAAATAAAATAGCAAACGTTATCTGATAGGTTCCAGGTAGACAAGCTGTGAATATTGTTATAGTCTTAATTTAAAATTTTTTATCTCCGTTTTAATTTTTAAAAAAAAAATGATGATATAAAGGGATTCAACTTTTGAACAAGCCAATAAATTACAATGCTGATCAATTTAAAACAGCTTGCCTAACCGGGATCAATATCTTTATTCCCCAAGTTTGGCTATTTGGGGAGTGTATTAAATCTTTCACCCCCTCCCCCCCCCCCCACACACACACCAGACACGCAACTACCAGAAAGAGAGTCATTGCGACATAACTTCTTGGAGAGTAGTGTCTTTTAAAATGAAATAAAATAGCAAACGTTATCTGCAAGTGATGTCTTATAGTATCCCAAAAGATCTCATATGACAACATTGAATTTCTTTTTATTTATAATTAAATGTGGATAATTATATCAAATCTTTTAAAAGCTTTGAAGACTTTATTATTAATTTATTTAGGCATTTTGTATTGCGCTTACTTTAAAGCTCTTAGCGCTTTACAATTATTAAAAATATGTGAAATATTTATTATCCATCCAAATGACTGTAGCGTTGAGCAATTTCCGTCTATCTTCCCACAAGTACCCCGTTTCATAAGGTGGTCTAAATACTAACACAATTAATGCTGCATATTCCTTACCATGACGGAGACCTCCAAAACCTCTTAGCAGTTTACAACCTCTTAAATATGTGTACACAATTTTTTAATAACAAGCCAATTTATTTTTGGTTTGACAAAGAGGAAACTCAAATATAAGTGTAACTTAAGCTGCTGATATGGCGAATTCGTGTGCCAAAATTAAATTGGATTTAACCCCGCGCACACTAGAATATTTAGGCAAAGGTCATCTTCCTTATTTTTTTTTGGTAAATGTGTGCGTTCTGTTTAAAATTATAAAAATGTAAGAAAAATTAAAAATCTATCAAAAGTTTTATTGTTACGTCCTTTAATAAATTTTCTTCTGTAAAAAAAAACAACAACAAAAAACGAAATCCAACACCTACACATAGATTTGATTGTTTTGCTATCCTGACTAGGAACCTTTATAAATATGTTAGACACATTTTTCTATGACCACATAGACAAAAAATGCTTTAAATAATTTAAAAAAAACAATAATAAAGATAAAATAACACAATTTTTTTTTTAAATGCATGTGCCAAAATCAAAACATCCTTTATAAGTATAATTTGTCAGTAAAATCATTTCAAAAATAAAATTCTGATCGCAATTTTTGCAAGGAATTGAACCTTTTTAGTAATATAACAAAAAAAGCGCTAGATATTAAAAAAATCCGGACAAGACACCATGACAGTAAACCAAAACAGGGGTATTCCTTATAAGTTAAGTCTAACTATAAAAATCATTAATATTTCTTTTATTTTAAAACATTATAGCTGTAATACTTGATAGCATCATCAAAGATGAATACTTGTTATCTTACTTTGGTTACAGCTTGGTGGATAGTTATAGGAATTACAAACTAAACACGCGCCTGTTTCAGGATGGCACGTGTTACATTTTCCATCACATGGGACACAGTCTAGACCCCACGATCCTGGTGAACAATCTGAATAGAGAAAATATGTGGACATATATGATTTAAATATAGCCAACTGATTATAAAGTAGATTTCACCAGAAAGTATTTGTAACAAGAATGAAACAAGGATGGGCAGATATACAAATACACATTATGAAAATGATCGTTTTTAAAATATATGACACATTTTTAAACCTATTTTAATATTTTAAACAATGATATTACAGGTGACTTTAAAAAATACTTTTTTTTGGTTTAAATTATCATTTTATTTATTTAATTCAATTTAATAATGATTTTGTGATCTGTTCCCTTTAAAAGATGGCAAGAGAAGATATATTTTAAAAATATTTATTTTAGTAAGTTTATGATTTATTGTTTTTTTAAATTAATCCAATGCTTCGTCTAAATAATTAATGTTCCAAAAAAAAAAAAAAAAAAGGAATATTAACTACTGATAAGCTTTTAAACTTTGTGAAATATTCAAAAGTCAATTATTTTATCTTTTCGCTTTCAATTTTAAGATTTAAAGGTAGATATAAATTATGCTAAACAACAAAAAAAAAAAAAATTCAGATTATATTCAAGGGTCTATTTTCTAGATACCTCCAAAAGCTTCCATCTCGCAGATGGTGAGGAGGCTTGTAGCTCTAATATTGATTTTACTGACGGGAATATTTCTTGCCTCATTTTTCACAGTCACCGTATAAATCACTTGTGGTGCATTATTTGGTTCAGTGTAATCATACACTATTTTGCCATGCGCATCTAAAGTTTGAAGAGTAAAATTCACAAGTCGAATTTGGCAACAATCTGAAAAAAAATTATTTACAAAAATTGATGCACGCCTAATATGTTGAAAGACCTTGACCTCATACTTTAATTTATTTAAAGTTCTTACAAATATTATAGTTTTATAAAACATTATTTAAAGCAACACAGATAAATAAATCATGAAAAAAAGGGTTTATTGTCTGGATGAGAGCAGTGTAATATCCGTTATGTGGCTAGGTGCAATTATATTTGGCACAAGTTTTATTTTACAACTGTGCATTCATACAATGCTATTAGTTTTCTTTGGACTCAAACAAAACAATTGTCTGTAATTGTTATTTTGATATGTTGCATAGTCGTATGATACTTATGATAATATATACAACAATAGTTACAAGTTTTTAAAGTTAATTGTTACGAGTGTGTATTTTGTTTCGATTATCTTGGTTTTATTCATTTCCCCCCTCATATTAATGGCGAGATATATTTTCCTCAATAACAAATGGGAAATTAATTAGAGTAGGCAGTAGGTGCTGAGGTTTAGTGTGTGTCGATTGGTTGCCATGGAGACAGTAGGAAAGACTTGGCATACATCTCTTCCTGAGTGGAATGGTCCAAAATGTGAAAAATAAATAAAAAAAATCTGAGAGTTCTCCTATGCGAAAAAAAGATTTCTCACAGGACGTACACGCAATATATGCTTGTTCATGTGGCATCAAGAGAAATTAAACATCAAACATTCATGCATGTACTAACATACATTGCTGTAATAAATTAAATTAATAGCACATTTATATATATATATATTTCTGAAATAAACTAGCCTCAATTGTCCTAAATATATCTATAAGTAGCTTTCTGAAAACAACTTTAGACTTTTAAGTGAGACTTTTCGAGTTTTGAACACAAAACTCTAAACAAATAACATTCCTCGATTTGGTCAGTATACCAATAATATAAAAGCTATTTATCGGAATAAATTTCAGTCATGACTGTTGTGTCTTGAACTACCGAATATTTAGGATTTGACTTTTTGTTAAATTAAAACAGATTGCGGGCTAGTTACCATTTCTGTTGTACAATACAATTCTGTTGACTACTTGAAGCTTGCTAAAAGTTACATTCCAATTTGGTGACGTATCATCATCGTAGCCATTTGTATGACTGCATGATTGATTTTTTAAACTATTATGTGTGTCACCATCGATCGCGTTGGAAGCCTGAGCCAAAGAGACACCCTCTTTAGTGTAGATAGAACTTTGAACAGCGGCTTGTTTCAATGCGACGTTGCGACCTTAAAGGAATCATTTCAAAAGCTTTTAAACATCTATTAAACTTTAGTTCAAAATGTATCAATTAGTAAGAATATATTATCAAGACGACGTTTAACATAACTGCTTTCTAAGAACGCAAGAATTAATTGAAAGTTAAAAAGAAAAAAAATCAAACAGACATATAATTGATATTATTTTGTCTGGTATTTTATTATGAAATATATGGTCTTGTTTCTTAGTAATATATCACATTCTTGCCTCCATTAATGTAAACGGAGCACAAAGACTTGAGACCTTGACCTTTTATGATGACTTGCTTCACATCGAACATTGTATCACAACGAATGTCCATTCTTCTTGCGTCTATTGTGGTGTTCAGTTGGTTGGTGCAAGCCATATCTGCCGATGTGTCCGTCTTGAAAGAGACTTGTAAACTGTTAAAACTTGCTTTAAAAAAAATTGAATAATCACAATAATCCTTTTATAATATAATTTATATTTTAGAATTGAGTAAGTCAAAACATTTTAAATACGGACATATTCAAATATTTAATTAAACATAACACTAAATTAATGAATTATAAAGGAGAAGATGTCTGCGGAAAACAAATTATATTATTAGACTTTAACAAGACGTACATACGAACCAGTATTATTAACTGCAAGTCTTAACCACGTGTAAGGATAAGTCGTATTCAATGTTATAACAACTGACTGTAAATTGGTGCCGGTGTAGCATGTCTCATCATTTCTATCAGTGAGCCATGTGCAAACTTGGTCAGGAATGCAGTTAATGGTGGTAGAAGCTAAATTGGCTAGATCTTCTGTTAATTACAGAAAAAATTAAAGGGACGTATGCACACATTGATCAACAATTGAAAATTAAATTGGGACTTCTAAAAATATATAAAAATTCTTAACTAACATTGCCATAGTCTAACATGAGGTCTAGATAAGTAGATATGAAGTATGGATGTAAACCAAACAATTTTTTTTTATTATGCAATGGATTATTATTTTTAGAAGAAAAAGCGTATCCAGAAAATCGTTTCATGTTCAAAGATAGTTAAACATTAGAAAACGCATAAAATTTCTCCAACTATAATTTATACTCTTTGCCTTGTTTAATAATACAATACGAGAAGGATGAGCTGTGGAACAAGAAATTGCCAAATGGGCAGAGTTGCTGTTCGGGTCGAATCTGATAGTGTTAAAGAGACAGACATTAACAATACTGCAAACTGGTTTAAGCAGGACAGCAAAGAGAGCAGTATTATTTTTAGGTAAATGCACTAAACTAGCTGCGTACTTACCTGGAAAATTAAAACAGGCTCTGAATCGAATGTGTAATTTTACAATTTTGAAATTCTGTTCACGCGCAGAATGCATAATATTCTGAAGTCTTGTTGACATGGCAAAAAAAAATGAACCCTTAATCAATAGTATGAAGAGAATATTCCAACAAGACCACATGAAAATATTTGGCCTATTTTATGCTTTTGTTTTATTACCCTCGACCCCTAGCTATATTTCATATCTTACCATGCTTAAGTCCCTTCTATATGTAATATCCTGCCATACCAGACAACTAGCCATATTTCTATCGTACCATGTCAAGTCCCTAGCTATATTTTATGCTCTACCATGCCAGACCCTTATTTATATTTCATATCTTACCATGCAATACCCCTAGCTATATTTCATATCTTATCATGCCCGACACCTAGCTATATTTTATATTCTACAATATGATACCCCTAGCTATATTTCAATTGTCACCATGCAAGACCCCAAGCTATATTTCATATTGTGCCACACCAGACCCTTAGCTATGGGTCAAATCTTGTGATAAATATTTTTATAAAACTTCCTGCTATTTTAAATTTATAGACAATACAATGGCTAAAATTTAAATTTCTAAGTTATTTACCTAACTGTGACTACAATTCTCACCATCGTAATTCCACGATACACATTTTTAGAAGATAGTTCATTAGAATTCATGTTCATAGAAATAGTATAACTTTGATTTGCAATACATAAATATATAAAAGAAATGTGATTTCTATTTCCCAATTGACTAATATTTATTGATCAAGCACTTTTGAAACCCATTTTTTTCAAAGAGTCATAATGTCTAAATAAATTATATTTTGAAAAAATTAAATATGTTTAATCATATCTCAAAATATTGAAAGAAAACACAAAATTTAGAAATATCACAACATGGAGAAGTGATCAGGAATATAAGAGATCTTCGCGTATCTAATTTATGAATGTAAACTTTTAAAGAGTTGTCTCACGACATGATAATAATTATTATTTTGAAATTTAAATTATTTGTTGTGATTAAAAAAAAAGAAGATACTAATAAAAAATAAATGAAAATATTAGTTTTTATGCTCAAATCTTTATAATTCGATGGTCTTACTTATAGTTAAAATTATTTTTAAAAATGTGTTTGGTTTAAGTTGATAAAAAAACACATTAATTTCTGAATTTTATCAACTTAAAATACAATCATAAGTCTATATAGATTTTATAGAAAAGGAATTTGTTATCACACTTATTATACATGTTAATATTATTTCATGGTTTGAAAGATTTTAATTAGTGACTTACTTGACCAATTTTAACCTGTAAGTGTGAAATGAGTGTTAACAAAACTTTTTCAAGTTCTGTGTTTAAAAATGAAAAAAAGGAAAGAAAAAAAAAGAAAAACTCACTATACTGACAGGCTGATCCAAACCATTCTTTTTCACATCTAAAATTGCTTGGACATTCTGGTGTTGTTGTGGTACAGCCTGAAGTACAGTGACACTGAAACTGACAGCTTGAACCAAACCAACCAGGTGTACAAGCTTTAGGGATAAAAGTTGCGAAGTGCGTCAGGAGTCATGTAAGGAAACTTACCTAAATGTTAAACGCTTAAATTTATTAATTTTTGAATCGTTCTAGTTGAGCCTGCTCAAAATGTGTAAATATGTTTGTAGTGAATTATATTTGATTGATGCAAGTGTTGAAATTACATTTCTTAATTTCTTGATGTATTACAAAAGATATAAGATTATTTTTACTATTGCCGTTATTAATGCGATTTTATGATCTGGAAACTAGATGATGAAGAATGTACTTAAAACAGTAATAACACGTTTGCGTTGCTTCTGAAAATAAGAATTACAATAGTGTATTTCAGGCTTTTCCAGTAAAACCGATATGTGTCCTCATGCAAAGGGATCAAATCACAATGGTAGTGAAAAGCATGTTGATCTAAAAACTCTACAAAATGACAAATTGAACTCTAATCTAGAAAAAATATTATACAGGTGAGTAAAATGTCATAATGTCCTTGGTTTACGCTAGAAGAATAATGTTGATGTTTTAAGGATAAGGGAAAATGAATGGGTTTAGAGCAAGGGTCTAACACTCGCGGCCCGCGGGCCATTTGATGCCCGCATGACGATATTTTGCGGCTTGCTAAATAACAGCAAATTTAGTGTTAATGCCGCCCGAGCGTTTTCCCCATTCTCATATCCATAGTGTGACCCACCGCGACGGATTCAGTCGAATCTCACCGCCTAGTCTAATTCTGATTTTTATTATGTTTACATAGATTTTGACGTTAATTATAATGGTAGAAATCATTTTAAAGTTTTTATGTTATAGAATTTTTTTAATTTTATAACATTTTATGAGAAAAAAAATGGCCTAAGTGCGGTTTTGAGAAAAGTTTAAAAAGTCAGTTAGTTGGTAATGCTCAATCATAATTTTGTAATTCTTAGCAATCTGACACAGAATCAAACAATTCCTATTAAAATTATCGCTAGTGTTTACGAGTGAGGGCAATTCCGAGTCTTTCAGGTTCAGATTTAAAATAGGGTTAGTCAAAAAGGATTTTGTTCTATGATAAAAAAATCTAACTAAATTCCTTTTCCCTACAATAGCATTTTCCTTTTGCATCAATAATGCATACATTTTGCCTGCTCCTGTCTATTTGAACACGTTTGAGCATTTAAAGCCTTTATGGTGAAGGTTGGGGGGGGGTGTGCCTGGACAAAGTGATCCCAAATGGTTTATGGACTTGGCTTTTCTTGTGGACATTATACAGGAGCTGAATGTACAAAACAAGAAGTTACAAGACAATCGACAGCTTGTCAATGTAGAATATGACAATGTCTGGGCATTCTGCACAAAACTTTTGTTATGGTTCTTAGAGAATCCTCTTAATTTTTCCGAACATGCGCAGTACTCATGGTTTCTGGCACACCATTCAGCAGTAAGTATACTGATGCAATTAAAAAACTACAGGACGAATTTAATCACATATTTTTAGATTTAAAAACACATAGAGCCCCCTTCTAGCTTTGTACTGATCTCTTTTTCTTTAAGGTGGAAGATGCCCCACCCCCCTTTTTGTTTTGTTTTGTTTTTGCACTTCATTGCTGATTGATCTTCAGTGCAATTCTAAGTTCAGGGAGGGGAATAGAAAGACAGACACATTTGGACAATTTAATAGAGAATTCCTATCCCCCTTCCCTGAGATTTCTAGATTGTTCGAACGGATTATATGACTTTTTGGGAGTACCTATATGTTAGAAAAACTCTTATCCACTATGAACTTTACCAAGTTAAAGTTGAGAGCCAAACTTCCTGATGAGCATCTTCAAGCTATACTGAGGGTCTCAGGTGCTTCCTCACTCAAGCCAAAGTTCTCAGCTGTGTTAGAAGAAGCGCAACCAGGTCTCTGGCAACAAAGGGTAAGATAATGGAACCTAGTTCTTGAGAACCCTTAAAGTTTATATTTGTTATTAATAAGGGTTGAGGAAATTGTAAAATTTGTGCTACCGCTTTTTTGTGGAATACTTGATGTGGCCCAGTCTCACCCAAATTCTATCTCATGCGGCCCCCAGACGATTTGCGTTTGAGACCCCTGGTTTAGAAGAAGGGTTTTGCTAAAGATTAATAGAAGGGTTAAATGGGATTTTGTCGAAAATTGCAATAAAACACCATTTAAACCATTGCCGTAAAACACCAATTATGACATTGTCAGAGAACATCAATTAAACCATTAGATTAAATCACCCCTTGCAAAATTTCCATAAGACATCCATTGAACAGTTGTCATGAAACACCACTTATAACATTGGCATAAAACACCATTTATATCATTGGCATCAAACGACCCTTAAAACTTTGTCATAAAACACATCGTAGTTAATAACTTACTATGATTTTATCGGTACTTAAATATAAAATATTGTAGCAGACACAATCTAGTTTCACGCGATTATTTCGTAAGCCTCATTTTAGCTAACACATAAGTATTGTTTCAGAATCAGTTATTGGATAGCTAATGTCAACAGTTGACAGTTAAATTACGATAAGACTATAGAATGCATTATACATACTCATAAGCTATATTATAAGGTGATATCCATAATATATATTTTTTAAACAAATCTATTTAGCAAAGCTTGAATTCATCAAAACCAGGAAGCGTATTGCTAGCGTTGAATCAAACCACTGAACCATGGCTAATATATACTTTTGTTCCTTGACAAGGGCACCTTGAAAGAAGACAGCTTAAATGACATGGTAGCAATTCTCAAAAACTGATTTGGCCCACTTGCCAACATAACAAATAAAGTGAAAATTAATTTGGAATCTAACATCTTCCAACAGAAATATCGCTGAGACCTCAAGTATAAACTACCAACAGACTGATATGTATGTGATGTCCCACGAGGTCTTTCATTTGAAAA